AGCAGTACTACAGTCATTTGACACTTGCGAGTGCCTCCGTAAACTACAGTATAAAGTATCCCCCAAACCAACGCGAATTATTCGCAGCGGATTCGTAATCGAGAATCCGCAGCGAATTTCATGGCGGATTTCGGATGAAGCCCCACACCAACGCAAATACAGGGTGGCCCATCCATGTGTGGACGGAATATTACTCATAAACAAATCCATTTTGGGAAAATATATTTATGGTATGTTATACATGACATTCGAGGGCACATTTCTAAAATATTGGCCATTATACAAGATGTACCAATTTCGACCTACATATCAAAGTTGTGATTTTTTCAAATGGAATGCCTCAAATTTTATTGCATATTTGAATAAACCAGTTCAAAAGAAGGAAATTGATACCCCATACTATGGGGTTTTGGTAATTAGCTACTGAGATATAAGGTGGTTTGTCTAGAAACCCCCCCCTTCCCTCCGTCCGCCGTTTTGAAATTTGGAGTGCTGAATTTTGTATCAAAAGAGACTTACACACCTCAGCTTTTATCTCATTTGTTACTTTTTCAAATTTTAATTTTTGATCATACAGAGTGGTCAGAAACGCAAATTGCAAATTGTAGTTTTTCTCAAAAATTTCAAATGCATCACCCTGTATATTTGTGCAAGTTTGGATCAAATTTTTTTAAAAGCTGTTTTTTGATACTAGATACATAAGGGTATTTAAGGCTATTTTTTCGGTTATTAGCACGTCTTTTATGGAACGGTTTAATTCCCTAAAATATCTCATTATCCTTGGAAACAAATAAATTGTTGATTAGTTACAAAATGTCAAAATTAGCTTTGTGGGCATTATAATAAAAATGTGTTTCAAAATGAATTTTTCTATAGAAGAAATGGTGAATATGGTGTTCGTTTTCATTCAAGGCCGGAAACATTTTCCACACTACGAGAACGTTTTGAATCAACTGGATCAGAGGAATATAGTAAAAAAAATATAAATAACCAAGTGTCACCAATCAGTTGGAGGTTCTATTAATGTTGCAGGAAAATCGCCATATAAGTGCACGGCAAATTGGAGCAGAAACTGCTATATGCCTTCGTCCTCAGGATTCCGCAGCTCAAATGGACTTTAGTAGAATATTGCTAAATAAAGTGAGTGAAGACGCTACTTTCCTGGATAAGGTTCTTTTTAGCGATGAGGCAACTTTAAACAGCATAGGTGTTGTCAACAGGCATAATATGCACTATTTTGCGACGGAAAACTCTTACTGGGTTAGGCAAATAGGTTTCCAAAATAAATGGAGCTTGAATGTTTGGGGTTGAGTTACTGGCAGACGAGTTATCGGGCTTTTCTTTTTCGACAACACATTAACAGGTACAGAATACTTGAATTTTTGATCAAGGATTTGCCTTTGCTTTTGGAGGATGTCAACCTGCAAACTTGGATGCATATGTATGTACTTCCATCACGACGGCGCACCTGCGCATTATCATAATCGTGTGCATAACTATTTGGACACCTGGAGTAACAATCGTTGGATCGGCCGTGATGTGCCTATATATTGTCCGATGGACTTCTTTCTATGGTGCTACGTTAAGCAAGAGCAACTACCCCGGAAAATATGAAGGAAAGGATTAAGGATGCTTTTCTGAACATAAGGCAACACATGCTGAGGGATGCGCCACGGTCATTTATCCAAAAACTACGGCTGTGTTTTCAACATGGTGGAGATATTTTCGAGCAGTTTTTGTAGATTAGGTTTTGAGTAGTGATAGCTGTTTGTTTATGTTGTTGTTATAGTTGTTTTTCTCTATTACGCTTTAAGCTGATTTATACTGTTCTGAATGATATTAGTTTTTACGTCAAATCTGTACTCTTAGTGGCAATATGGAACTAGCCCACTGTTTGTCTTTTGTTTCCATGGATGATGTGATTGTTTTCCTTAATTTTGTTGTTCTATTAAAAGCTTAATAACTCAAAATCTAGTGATTTTATCTGAACCAAACCTTATACCAAAAAAAACTTATGAGCAAAACACATTACATCTCAGTAGCTAATTACTATTGTTACATCAATCTTCTTTTGAATTGATTTATCCAAATATGCAATAAAATTTGAGGCATTCCATTTAAAAAAATCAAAACTTTGATATGTAGGTCAAAATTGGGACACCCTGTATAATTGCCAATATTTTAGAAACGTGCCCTCAAATGTCATGTATAAGATGCCATAAATAGATTTTCCCAAAATGTATTTGTTTATGAGTAATATTGGGTCCACACATGGATGGACCACCCTGTATAATCGCATCATTGACGTTGTATTGTCAGTATCGAAAAGGTTGGATGTTAGTGCTAAAAAAGAATGTGAACGAATGAAAATGCGACGATAGTTTTATCGAAATTTAGACCCTGTCAGAACATGAACTTGGAGCTTTTCAAAATCTAGAAAATGATCGAAGCAAAGCAGCAAAATTGACGTCTTTGCAAGAGAACTACTTGTTATGTTTAATAATTCAGAGCTATAATAAAGATTGTTGTCATAATTAAAACAATATAAATAACCCTTCATTTACAACATATAATATTTTTAGAATTTTTACTAAAATATTTATCATTATTATTTCTTAGATAAATAATGTTTCAACTTAGCATTTTCGCCCAGTTCTTCTCCTATTTTACAAACCTTACACTTTTCGCAAACATTTTTATAGTCTCCATGGGATGGGTCATATAATATAGGGTACTTTCTACTAATTTCGATCATTCTTCACTTTATGACGTTGCGAAATTACTTTAACATGACAAATACGCATCTGATTGCGAACTAAGTTTTCTTGCTGGTGAATACGCAGATAAATCGCAGTCAATACGAAGAAAACTGCACTAGTGTGAACTTTTTACCACATTGAAAACAATATCGTATGTGTTGCGAATATTCATGCGTATTGCGAATTTTCCGCGTTAGTTTGGGGAAAGCCTTAACTGTTGTCTGGGTGAATGGTTATTCTTAGTCAAAGAGTAAATATCACAGTTGACCGACAGGCAAAACGGGCTTGTGGACAGCGCTGTCTGGGTCCAAGGAGTCTTACTTTTTCTTTGAATGGAAATTGGATTAGGTATATAACGTTACTAGTGTATGAGTACAACATAGGACATCATAAATTCAATCGGTTAGGTATTTCGATCTTGAAAGTCCGTTTGGTCGCGATATTACCAGGAATTAGAATCGGCCAAACGCATTGTTATTCCGAATAGCGATCCGTCGTTCCGGTCACGTGACGCTATCCGCTGCCGTCTCGTCAAATAAAAGAACACGTCGCAGCCTTCTGCCTTGCTAATTTTATGAAGGCAACCAATGACAAAGCAGCGGCGGAGTCTCGCTTTGAGAAAGGTTTTTGGCATCATTTGATATGTATGGTAGTTGTACCTACAAAAATCATTTAAAGAACAACTTTCAGTCAGTGGACCCTCACCGATAAAAATATGTTACAGAACTTTGTTAGTGGCGGATTCAGGACGTATAAACATGGAAAGTAGCTCAAAAATGGCTCCGGAATTGACAGTTTCCATTTCACTTAATGCTTATCAAAAACGTGTATGCTAGTGGTTTTTGCATCGGTTTCTCAGTTTTATATAGAATCTGCATGAGGACGTCTCTTGGGTTTAGTAAGAGTCCAAATGACTTTAAACGGAAATTCGCCATCATGGATGCTAATATTTTATCAACGTAAGAAGTGACTTATTGATGGCCGAATGACATTCCAAAAAGAAAGCAGGGAGAATGTCTACACCTTTAAAAAAACATTACGATGATATACACAATGCAAACAGAGAAGCTCGCGTGGTGATCCAACAAGAAAAGAATGTCGAAATTTTCAAAGGAAGAACAAAAGGAATAGGCGACGGAACTTAGGTGTATAATGGAAAAATCCAATTGATTACAAGAAATTTATATAAAAAGGGATCGTTGAAAGAATAATTTTCTATGGAAAAAGTGAAGATCGAGCGGTTTCCAAGAAGCAACAGGAGGACTAAGCGACAAACATGGGGAGATTTAGAACCAGAACACTACAAAACATCAATGGAAGCGGTTATCGAGAAAGGAGCCTTAGCTGACATGAGTGGCTAGTTTTGAGACAAGGCAGCTTTTCATATTCCAAAGGGAAAGGGAGAGGAATGGTGAGAGAAGAATATCTGAACTTCCAAACAGGATGTACGGCCGAGATGCAGACTACAGCTAAAGTCAGGACCTGATGTTAAAAGAGATCGTGGAATGGTGTAATTTTATAAAGTCAATAACTAAGTGGTGGCAAAGTGTTATGTATCATTTATTTAACATACTTGTTATTTAAGCAAGAGCTAAACCACTAATACTACCGTTTTGTGGTGTTTGAGAAAGAAAGTGTTAAGATGTCTAGACCTCCAGAAACAACAAATAAGCAAAACCGAAAAGATGGAATGGTCTTCCAAAACGAGAGTATGTTGTAGTAACCTCTAGAGAAAAAGACACTAACGAAGAAGATACAACAGGAAATGTCTGCGTGACTGTAAAAAGATAAGGATATGTTGTGTTCGAAAAAAGAAAACAAAAGAAATAGAAATGATAACCAAATACAGGGCGTGGTTGTGAGAAGAGAACATCGTTGTATAGTTTCTTGGAGGTAGCCAGTTGATATAGTAGGTGTGGTATCTAACACTATTTCGGATAGGTCTGGTATTTGCCTTGGTATTTTGTTTGATAGTTGGTTAGAGAAAATATAATTCACTCTCATATTTCAGAAAAAAAAAGTACGCGAGGAGACATATATAAATTTAGAAGAGCCCATGTGGTGTTCCAAGGAGAGAACGAATGTAAACTCTCAAGGGAAAGCAAAAAGCACAAGCGAGTGGTATTGCAAAAAGGAATACAGTAGGAAGAATGTCTACACCTGCAAAGGAATAACAAAGAACAATATTAAGACTACTGTTACGTAGTTGGTAGATCCCAGTTCAGGACCAGGACCAGCAAGATGCATCCAAAGAAGGAAACCATAGCTGATGTAAAAAGATAATACCGAGTTGTGTTTTAAAAATGGAGCGTGAAGAATGTCTGCACCTCCAACAAGAAACCAGGCAAGCAAGAGTTGATAACCAAATAATATATCTTGAAATTGTTGTGAAAAGAGAATGGTATAGGTTTATGTTCAAAGTATTCTCCTCCAGCATCAATGCACTTCTGTAGCCTGACCTTCCACAAAGAAAATGCTTCTAACCAATCAATTTTTGGAATGCCTTCAACGAACTAATTAATTGCTTGATCGATTTTCTCTTCGGACAAACATTTTCGACAACGCATTTTTTTTTCAAATTCTTGAAGAGTCAGAAGTCACACTTTGCCAAATCTGGCGAATAAGGCGGATGTTCCAGCATTTTGATGTAGCTCTGGCATAAAAAGTCTACAGTTAGTTACGGTGGGCCCCAAGAATGGCCACCAAGGTCCCCAGACCTCAACAGTTTAGATTTCTTTTTGTGTGGCTATCTTAAGACACTAGTGTACACAAGTCCCATTAACAGTGTAGAGGAATTAACATAAAGAATAGTTGCAGCTAGAATAAAAAACACTCCAGGGATATTTCAACGAGTGCGCAATTCCATGAGAAGGAGGGCGGAAGCATGAATACTAAGTGAATGGGGCCATTTTCAACAATTTTTGTAATCATTTCGTTGGTTTTAATGTAATGTTTATGTTGTCAGTTGTCGTTGTTCATTACCCCTAATGTGTTTAATTTTTCCAATTAAATTAATAATAATTTTGCAAGTTAGACAATAGAACGGTTCTTATTTTTTAACTAAAAAATGGCGCAACGAAGGAAAACAATTCGAGAGAGATCATTTGTTTTAAATTGAACGGGAAATTGAAAAATTATTTTTATTTGGCAAAAAAAATTGGCGTACCAATTTTTTCTTAAAAAATATCGATGTCAGCAGCCTTAAGGACGCCACTGTTAAAGCTAAAAATTATTTTTGCATTGAAAAATATGCAACATTATTCACTTTTACTACGTAATAAATATCAGTGAAATATCTGAAGCGGTTCTGAAAATATTAATTAATTTTCATTTTTTTCCTAAAACTTCAACACCCCGAGTTTTGTAAGGAAACATTTTTGGACCATAGTTTATAAAGTAAACCAACATTAATTTTTCATATAGATTCACACCCTTAAATATTCGCATATCATTAAGGAACACACTTCTATATACACATGTAGTGGAAAAAAGGTGGTTGAATACTTCCTTCATTCACTGGTTGGCTTGTCTTACATTATATACTAAGTGACATATAAATCCGAACACCCAGTTTAAATGTTTTTATTTTAATAAAAGTTGGTGAATGTATTTATCTTACTGTAAATAACAAGTGAAAAAATTTTCAGCCTTATCAGTTGGACATTCCGGTTTTTATACTGCTTTTCTTTTAATTCACTAACGCTCTAAAAATGAATATTTCAGCCGCAGTAAAGAATCAACGTTGGCGGATTTTGGTTCTTGACATCCTTTACGATCGGTTACGATGCCTAGAGTACGGAGACCTGTACGATTTCGTCAACTTAGTGAGTTTGATAGGGGCCGTATAGTGGGACTTCGGGAAGCTGGACTTTCTTTTCGGGCAATTGCAGTTACAGTGCAAAGAAGTGTAGACACTGTGGTTAGGTGTTGTCAGGCATGGCTTCCAGAAGGCCGTACGCAAAGAGCAAGGGGCACTGGACGCCGCCGTAGAACAACAGACCGTGAAGATCGCCGCCTAAGATTATTGGCCATAAGGGATTGTTTCTCCACTACCAGGTACATTGCAAATGAATGGTTTGCAGAACACGGAAGACCTATTGGCATGCGAAGTGTTTACCGACGAATGAGAAGTTTTGGCTTGTTTTCATACCGGCCACACTGGGTCCTCCCTTTAACTTGAGAACACCGACGTAATCGCCTTGAGTGGTGCAGACAACGGTCACTCTGGGATCAGGAATGGAACAGGATTGTCTTTAGTGACGAGTCTCGATTTTGTTTAGGCATGCACGATGGTCGTGCCAGGGTTAGAAGGCGACGTGGTGAAAGGAGGAATCCACAGTTTTCTGTTGAAAGACATGTTCATCACACTGTTGGAGTTATGGTTTGGGGTGCTATAGCTTATGGTTCCAGGCCACCTTTAATCTTCATCAGAGGTAACATGGACGCGCAGAGTTATATCCACGATGTTCTAGAACCCCATCTTTTACCCTATCTTGACACCCTGGCAGATCCAACTTTCCAACAAGATAATGCCCGACCACATGTTGCAAGAGTCACAATAGACTTCTTTCATCATAATGATGTCACATTGTTACCATGGCCACCAAAATCTCCCGACTTATCCCCAATTGAGCACGTGTGGGATATGATATGTAGGAGATTGCTCAATTTGCAACGTCCTCCTCAGACTCTAGAAGCACTTCGAGAGGAGTTGGTGGTTGCCTGGAAGGAGAAACCACAGGAGGACATTGACCACCTGATCAGGAGCACGCCTAGGCGCGTTGGAGAATGCGTGGCACATCAGGGTGCATCCACACATTATTCAAGGTCAAAGGGCTTTAAAGCAGTGCAATCATTTTGAAATTTTTATCATTTACTTATTATGCTTCATTAAGTACTTGTACAAAATTTCATTAAAATAAAACCATTTAAACTGGGTGTTCGGATTTATATGTCACTTAGTATAGAATACGAAGTGTAGTTGTGCGAAGAGGTAACTACAACCTTTGAGTAGTTCAGCCATACGCGGTACCGCTGACCACTACATCGGTAGCAAGAAACTACAGCGCCCCGACATGTCTGATTGACTGTCCGGTACGACGAAAAAAAATACAATTATGTGTTTGTAGAACAGAACGGCCAGTCTCATATGCGAATATCTATATTATTACATTCTCATTTTACCATACCACTTTTAAGATCCTTCATTCTATTGGATTATCTTACTGACATCGGTGTGAACTACTGTAGTCTAAGAATCTATCTATTATGTCTGTCCATACAACACACTCACTTGTACAGCTTAAACATCAATAAAAAATTAATTAAAAGTCTCGGCTTGGAAAGGGTAGTTCAGTGATGTGTGAAAATGAAGATAGTCTTTAAAAGGAAAATGTCAGGATATACCATCGCTGTTCATTGAGCAAGAAAATTCGTCGCTGAAAATATGATATTCCGGGGCAATCGAACTTGGCGGTATTTTACCTTCCAGTGAAGCAGTGAAGCAGTATATCATTTTCCAGGAGTGATTGAGCTTGACTTGCAAGGGTATCACTGACAGGTTCTGACAGAAACTGCTAAAATTACTACCATTACGACACATGAGGTGATCTAAATGCTAAGAGGACGACATACAGTGTATCGAGAAACATCATTACATCAGCTTTAGCTCTGTATAAAAATTAACATAGATAGATGTTACCATTTTACATCAATGTAGAAATCGTGGTACAAAGCCAGAAATTATACAGGGTGTTTCAGTTTATTGTTGCATAACTTTAAGATTCGATAGAACTTTTAAAATTAATGCATAAAGTCTATATAAACATAGGTCGAAAAATGCGTGGCTTCCGAAATACAGGGTGTTTAAATTTACTTTCTAAAATAGTTTTTTTTAAATATTTCGAACAATATTTGATGTATAACAGTGAAAATTGGTATACAAGGTTTTTTTGGTACGACAAAACGAACCATGGGCATAGTTTTACTGTAGCCGCTAGAGGGCGCTCTCTACTGTACCTGTAGTGTATTAAAATGACCCAAAAATTTTTCTTAGTGCAATTTTTTGCTTTTTGAATAAAAACAATGATTCTTCGCACTTTTCAACATAAAAAAGCTCTCCTGAGAGTTTTCATTATAGTTAGCCGTTTTTGAGATATTTCGATTTTTAAGGTTCGATGCATTTTTATTATTTATGGGAAAATAATATTTTTTTACATTTTCGATTTGGGCATTACAAGTAATTAAGATGATCGTTTAGATTGTGTTTTTAAACACAGCAATAATTCCTAACTCCAAATAAACACAAAAAAACAGAATATTAATTTGTTTAATTTTCCAATATTATTTTTAACAAATTAAATTAATTATTTACAACTAAAATACTATTGGATATTTAGAACAAACATACAAAATCTAAAGTAGTTGCTCGAAATGTAAACCCAATTGTTCAATACACAATTCGCATCTACGAATGATCGAACGTGGAATAGCATTATTCAAATAAGGCCTTATTTCATCACATGCATTCCTGATTCTGTCTATTAGCATATCTCTTGTGGTTACGGGAGTATGGTACACTTTTTCTTTTAGAAATCCCCACACAAAGAAATCTAATGGATTTAGGTCAGGGGATCGTGGAGGCCAGGCGACTGGTCCTCCACGGCCGATCCATCTTTCTGGATAATTTTCGTCCAGCCAGTTTCTAACTATTCTCGAATAATGAGCTGGACAACCATCAAGCTGGAACCAGGCCAATCTTCTTAAATCTAACATAACATCATCCCACATATTTGCATGTTCAGCCTTTAAAAATTCCAAGAAGGTCGCAGCATTTAACCTAGCAGGCAGAAGGTAGGGTCCAAATCGTCGATTACGGTAGATACCAATCCACACGTTCACACTAAATTCATGCTGAAAATTTCTTTCCCGAACTGCATGCGGATTTTCATGCGACCAAATATGTTAATTATGAAAATTTACCACTCCACGTCTAGTGAAGCATGACTCATTGGTCCATAAAACATTACTTAAAAACTCCCTATTATTATCAGTTCTATCAAGAATCCACTGACAAAATGTGATTCTTCATTCTGCGTCCCCTGGCTGTAGTCCTTGCACAGGTTACAAATGGTAAGGACGTCTATGGTCATTTCTAAGAACACGGTGAACATGGCTTGCTGAAATTCCCAAGGCACCAGAAACTCTCCTAACACTTGTGGTCGGATCTCTATCAAACTCACGCAGAATCATACGGGTAAATCTGCGCTGAC